AAAAAAAAAAAAAAAAAAAAAAAAAAAAAAAAAAAAAACCAAAGACAGATGAGACAGAAAGAGATGTATAACACTTAAATGTAAGCGAGATGCGTATTATATGCCATATATACAAATGCGAGATGCCGAATGCACACACACACGCGCGCGCGCCATCACACCCAACAAAAATTTATATAAAAAAAAAAAAGTCACACCTATATCGCCGTATACGCGTTACGCGCAAAAGTGCACTGTTGACCCGAGAAGTAATCGTACATATTATACACACAAAAAAAAAAAATAGAATATATATTTACGTAAAGACGATTGGGGCGGTGTATATATAGATGCTATAGGAAAAGGGTTCGGACACACACACTTGGATAAGTAATGATTTTTCAGATACATCAGGCACAACACAGTAGGTATACACAAACACAAGTCCATAAGCACACACCGACGTATCCACACGTACGACCAGGAAGGTATAGACACAACGGAAACTGCAGGGTATACAGGGGAAGTGCATATATATATATATAGGGGTATATGTGCGGGGTCGGGGCGATACTCACGGTTGGGCCGTCTCTTCTCGCCGGACAGGCTCATGGTGCGCGAGAGCTCGGCCTTGGTACCCTGGGCCTTGAGTATGCGCAACGTCTCGAGGATCTCCTTCTCGTCCCTCATTGGCCGGGCGAACGAGCTGCGCCGCCTCTCCCTGTGGTAATTGACACCCGAGACGTCCGCGTCGCCCATGCTACCACCTATATTTGTATACGGAAAAATCATCCAAATCGCGAGAGATCGGTATCGAAGAAAAGAAGAAAAAAAAAAAAAAAGGAGCAGGTGTCTCACGTTTGCTGTCGTTGGCGCTGCCGACCCCCCCGCCGACCTGGCTCTGGAAGCTGCTGCGCCTGCTACCAGGTAGGGATCGGCTGTAGTCCTTGCTGAGCTCGTAAGGCTCGATCTCGAGCTGCTCGGATTGGCTGGAGCCGCGTCGCGAGCCGGGCAGCCACGCGTGATCGGGATGCAAAAAGTACGGCTCGGGGCTGCCGCTGTCGCTCTGGGTGTCGTCGCTGTAGCTACGCTCGCGCAAATCTGTGCGCCGCAGGAGACGCTGGGCGAGCTCGATCGACAGGGAGCCCCGGGGAGAACAATGCGGCGACTTTCCCGAGCGCAGCCCCCGGCGATCCTCCAACCGGTACCTACATGTACAACACCGGTTTTCACGAGTACAATATACATATACGTGTATGTACTAAACAATACTCACCAAACGGCGCGGTCGGCCTCGAAGGCGCTCTCGAGGTCGATGGAGCACCCGCCGATGAAGACGCACTCCCTGTCCGGGCAGTAGTCCCAGATGGTGACGTCGATCAGCCGGTCGATCAGTTGCTCGCCCCCCACGTTCGTAAAGTTGAGGGTCGCGTTCCAGATGGGGTTGTGCGTGGCCTCGGCCACGTCCGTCTTCAGCGATATCGAGTCCCCGCTGCAAACAAACAAACATCCGCCCGGCACGTCCTCGTATTCAATTAATAGAGGCTGGGGAGGGGGTTTGGAGAAAAGGTCCCCGTGGAGCCGGCAATTAGAGCTCGATTCTCCGAGCAAACGTTCGATCCCCGGAGGAAAGTGGGGCTTCTTTGTTTCTTCGGCTCGGGGGAAATCACGAATTATGGTGCAAGTGTACGTATATACACAGGTATACCCGGATAGGAGAGGGAGAAAAAAAAAGGGGGGGATACTCACTTGGGGGAGACGAGATCGAGTTTGGCGAAAGCTTCGGGGGCCGTGCCGTAGCCGGTGTCCTCGCGCGAGCACAGGTCGTCCGCCGCGAATACCGAGACTATCAGCTCCTTGCGGTCACCCTCGTACAACACCTGTATCTGCACGCGGCCCGTCACTTGCCGCTCCTTGGCCAGTTGCTCCTGGAAATCGCGGACTCGGTTAGACTTTGCGGCTAACCCCTTTTGGGGCTTCAATATTTGTCGATACAAGAACGAACCCTCATCCATATAAACTTTTTTACCCACTTTTTTTTTTGCTTCGGAGCATGCGCTTGAGTTCAAAGGGGATCTATAATCGATTGATCATGCAGAAATCGATCGAAACTTGGGTTCGTTCTTCCATCGACTTTCGGCAAATAGAGGTAAATATATATATATATGTGTGTATATATTGTGCAAAAGACTAGGGTGCAAAGTCAAATATAGATATGTGTATGCTCTGTTGCAGAGACAAACTTGTGTGTACGTGTGTATGTAGGCAAGGCAATCAGTGCAGCAGCTCAGGCATCCAATTTGGCTTGGGATAAGTTGACTCGAGCAACAACGAAAACCTGGTGGCACTGGATAATTTTTTTTTTTTTCAATTTCCAGTGACTGTAAGATGGTTCAATCGCACCAAACGGTCGTTTGCTCGAGCAACGTGTCGTATTGAAATCATATTTGTGATTCATGACAAAGAAAAGAGCCAAAGGAAAATAAGAAACAGAAAGACAGTCGTTAGATGCTGGGATGGGTTGGGGGGAGAATTTGGAGAGTTCAAAGTTGGTTATTATCGAGTTGGCCACGCGCGCCCTCAAAATCCATCTTCCATATCCGCACGCATCCTCCGCCTCGTTTCGTCGTGCTCTTGGATTTTTCGCCTTTCCTCTTCCATCTTCTCCGCCACTCGCTCTCGATTCGATCTCACGTGCACAATGGGGTGTACGCACGCACGAGCGGGGACTTTTCCTCCCGCTCGAATCGCCGAAAGCTTTGAGCTCCACGTGTCGTACAAACGAACATATACTGTTACCAGCTCGACGCGCGATTTGCCTCCGGCTTGAATCCACGAAGTACGACATTTGGGTTCTATTGCTTTTTTCGTGTTTCACCACAACAAAGCCGATTTTATTACTTTTAGTTCAATCGGCAATGACAAAGTAACGACATCCATCAACGCGATCCATCGGTTGATACTCGATGAAAGAAAGAAAGAAAGAAAAAAATCACTCGTCACTTCCGTCGGCTTTTACGTTTTCGGTAGGTTATACAAGTACTTTGGCCATCGAAGTCTTCAAGGGCGAACCAAAACCCTCCACTCGGCCATTGTTACGTCGACACTCGTGTGGCTTTGAACTCCTTTTTTTTCCGTTTCCACCTGTTCGCCGTTGCGATTTCCCGCAACTCTCGGCTCTTTCCTTTTATTTTCCTCTTAATTAAAGAGCTCCTTTTCAATCCACCGCGCGCGCGTCCTTGAACCGAGTGGTTTTTGCCAGCGACGGGAGGCTTCTCTCCTCGTTAAGTAAATTAAAATTACTCGCACACGGCAATACTCCGAAGGTCTTTCGCCAAACGTCCCTGGTATAGGGACATTTTTTGCCATTCCGTGAAAAACGAAATAGCTCCAACTGCTGTCGTGTAATTATGCTTCGTTCAACAATTTCCCTTTGTAAATTGATAAAAACAAAAAGAAAAATGGAATGATCTATAAGTATAAAGTAACGTACACGTGTTGCGTAAGACGAAGAGGAGAAACATCGCCGGTGAAGCGAGAAAATGGCCACTCAAGCCGAGCGTAAAAGGGCGCTTGACCGAAGTAAACGAGAGAAGGAAGGAAGGAAGGAAGGAAGCAAAAAAAAAAAACACGAGCCGGAGTAATTAGCCCCCGGGACCGGAAAAGTTTTGATGGATGTGTGCCACAGCTGTAACGCGATGATGTATCGGCGAATCGGGAAGCTAATGGCACGTGCGCCCAAGTGACTCCAAGTTTCGCGAATACCTTGGTACTTATAGAAAGAAAAACAAAAACTTGAAAAACAATTTTACGTGCATCTCACGATTCGTGAAATTATATCATAGTGATGGCAAATATGGTAAAAAATGGCCATTTTCACCGATTCGACCATCATTACCAAGGTCGTTTATGAACAAAGGGGTACAGCGGGTCAAGGTTTCCTTTTCACCGGGCACTCGCGAATTTCTTTTTTACTATCTCTTCAGGGGCCATTCGAATGGTTGGCGGTTGATCCAAAAGAGATTCGAGGGTAAGCAAAGTGTCAGGGTCAATGGCGGAGATAGGCTCTAGTGCTTCCTCGCGAAAGTCCAAACTGGCGCACTTCCCGTTATCGTCAACAGGAAGTCGGGGAAATTCAGGGGCCACGACATCCGGAGGAGTCGCGATACAAGATCAAGGATTGGACAATTTTCCCAAGTTAGGGATGAAGTTAAATTAAATCGCGATTAGGTAGTTGTTTTCAAAACGAAATCTCTTATGATCATTTGTGGCTCATTGAAAAACAAATAAATGTTAACCCGAGTACGAGCGAAAAAATCGATTGTTCGAAATGGCAGCGACAACGCGGAAGCAGCGCGTGATAAAATTCATCGATCGACACCTCCTCGGTACTTGATCTCCACTGGAGTTTTTTTTTTCCCCCATTTCACTTTGAATGTTCCGCACTAAAAAGAAACGACACTCCTCCCGAATACGTGGTCTGTTAGCTCCACTGCGCCGGAATAGTCCGTGAATTAGACGCAGCTTCTCGTGCTCTAAATTCTTATCTCCCTCTCGATCTTTTTTAATTGCGCCGGCTTACGGGGGTCCATTAATCCCACGCCCTCTTCTTCGGTCTCGGCGACTGTCCAACGGGATGGATCTCAATTCCAGATAGCACTCACTTAAATTACGGTCACGTGAGTTCCATACGATCAAACGCGGAAGCAAGGGGATTTAATTTTTTTTTGACAATTTTCAATCACAATCTTTCTAGTGCAATTTTAGGAGTGAGTTCGGCCTTCGAGAATTTAGTGACGCTTTGAAACGCAGGAAACTGTAAAGTTGCTGTATTTCAACGCACACACCCACACACGTATAGTACACGTTGGAGGGGTCCCCGCGGGCCCGTTATTAACCAGATAACACATCAAGAGGTAGAGAGGTTGGGCGGTTGAAAAAAAAAAAGGAGTACATTGGATCCTCCTTCTTCTCTTCCTCCGAGGGCGCAACATTCTTTTTTCGCACATGCTCGCGCAAAAAGCAATTATACATGTATACACATTGCAGGATGCTCTACACATAAACACAACGATGCATTTGCACGTACACCAGAGCATTGTGCCATGGATGCATTTCATTATTATTTTCTAACATTCCCTTCGTGCCTTGAGTTACAATCATAGCAATAAATAGATGGAGTATCTAATAAAGTTGAAACATCTGTGGACGCGTTGACCATACCTTGTGATGATTGACCGATGTTTGCTTTAACAGTTACCTACATCGTTTTTGCCAACTGCAGACTAATTTTTTTTTTTTTCTCAATCTAGCTGTGTGTGTTTATGTGCATGGGTGTCGAAAAAAAAAAAAAAAAAACTACATTAAATATGCATACTTTGTCCTCATTCGTGGTTAACAAGCCAGGCATAGTTTATTTTATTTCACGATTACTAATGGGACTCGTTGACGCACGTCAGACATTTTGATAAAATAACCTTCAGTTGGCTTAGGTTTTCAGTAAATTTTTTCTCAAAGTAATCATTTGCAAAATTACAAAAAAAAACCGCAGCAGGTGAGATTTTTCAAAATGCAAAAAATACTCAATAAAATGTTAATTTCTCATTATTCTTTGCTTCTTCTGAGGATATAAATGCATGAGAAAGGTGAAGGTCCATATTGCCATTTGCACTTCGTAGGTAGAAAATAGAAGTAAGAGAGAAAGAAAAAAAAGAAAGCCATCGTGCTTTGACTGGTGTGAACATTCCACTATTTCACTATAATCGTCACGCGTTTCTACAGAGATGATAATCAAAGGGAGAAAACTAGTACAGAGTAACAAAAATATATACTTATACGTCAGAAGCAAAGTCCAAAAAAAAGTGATGTGTGTATAAAAAGTACATACTCGTGCCAATCAGGAGGTGAAATAGTGTAAAGGTCAAGGCAAGAAATTTTTTCTTTTGTTTTTTTGTTTTTCACATGACAACTTACATTTGTATTATCTTTTTCATCAATCGCCGGCTCATTTTGGGGCTCACTCGCTCTTTTCTATTCAGGACACACAGAGACACTTTTGCAGAGAAACGCCATAAAGGAGCGACAAGAATACGAGAATATATATCGAAAGAACAAAATAAATAAACTAAATAAAAGAAAAAAAAAAAAAACGAATACACTGTTCCATTCACGAAAAATTTATAATAAACAGAATACAAAATTTTTCACTCTCCAGAGGGAGAGATAATAGTACAAAACTTAATAAAAAAAAAAAAAGTATATAATCTTACAGAGCTTCCAATCCAAATTGGTAAAAAAACATCGACATCTTTGTAAAAAAACACTTTTAACGACGAACAACGAAAAGAACAGAACAACAAAACATCATCATGGTACGTATAAATGTATCTCTGTCAATATTTTTTGCTGCTGCACCACAAACAAAGAGAAGGTAAAAGTTGACGGTGGAGGAGGGTTGAGGAATGTGATGAGCAAAGAAACGAAGAGCGACAGAAGAGGAGGACAAAAAGAAGTATCAGAAAAAGAAGAGAAACACTAATCGTGTGCTGCTTACTTTTCCAACTTCGTTCTTATGGCAAATCGATACAATTTTAGGAAATTTTCAATAACAACCCTTACTTCAAAGTTTAAATGAATGAAAAAAAAAAAAAAAAAGATATTTTCTTATTAAAAGTCCTAAACTTACGAAATTTCAGTCGTTCATATCTCACGTTGGGACACAGGTTATTATACGCGAGAAAACGCTGTGAAAAATATTGCTCCCGGAACACAGCAGACACGTGAATTTTTCTCTTCTTCTCTTTTATTACACATATTGCAAAAAAAGACTTTGCCATACTCTTTCGTTTATTCCCAGTTACAATTATTTAAACTTATATATATATTTTTTTTTATTATTTCATCATTATCAACATCATTATTATATTATATGGTATTAGTATTAATAATAATCATTTGTCACATTCGGGTAGTTGTACGTTTGTGTATGTGTTATCATGTTCATTTTATCTGATACATTTTATTTCTTTTTACTTTTGTCTTTAATAGAACTAACAATGACTAGTGGGATATGTCTATTTAGAATGAAAAAAAAAAAAGGTCAAAGATACGTTACAACTTATTATCACACAATCTCACTTTACGGCCATTTTAGTGATGTATAAACATTTTCACTAATTAATTCATCAACTGTTGACTCGATAGATACATAAACTATATATTCTCGATTACATACGCACACAAAATACAACAGTACGATGAAATAAATATACTTTGAAGTCTGATAACCATTTCATTTATTTTTTAGTGCTGTCGATGAAAAAAATTCATCACCGTTACTAATTATCGATACGTATACTCTCTCTCTCTTTATTTAATTATTGTACCAGCACATAAGATACGTATAACTATTGTTTTTTTTTTTTATACTTTTTTTAAGTCAAAATAATTGTTATTTATTCAGTATGTACACGACGAACTGGTTTTGAATAATTTTCATCGATTTCACCTTAAAAAATATCCTAAATGACTACATTCATAAACACACATGATGTATTGGTAAAGAATCATAGGAAAATCTAAAATTCGTCTCAACTGACACTTATAAAGATTTGGTTACGATTTTCGGTTTTTTCTTATAGAAACGTGAATTTAAATTAATGACTGCTTAAGCTCGTACGTGCATTGTCCAGCAATATATAATCATGCGATAGAAACTTTTAGAAAATTTAAAAAACCGATCGATATGAGATGCTGATATGCTTAGGTATTTGTATTAGGTAAATTGTAATTTTTCTCTTACATCTATCGGATACATTTAAATTCCTCGTTGAATTTTTCATCCATGATTATTTGCCAATTATTAATACTTTTGAAAAAATTGTAGGAAAATCAAAGCTGAAAATCTTTGACACAAGGTTTTTGAATGTCTTTTGCTCGCGTAAAAGTGTAAGCTTCAAAAGAAGCCTTGGCAACATCAGCACTAATCTCGATTAAGTATAACCTTTTGATTTAGAAATTTGCATTAGCAAAAAGAGAGAGGCTGATAAGCTCGTCGTTGATGATTAAGTCTAACGCCAGCGGAGAAGAAAATCCTTTCACGCGCGGCAGCTCACTACAAAATTGATTGTACGAAAGCTCTTTTTGTGAATTGAAGAAAACTTTTTTTTTTTTTTTTTTCAACATTTATCACTTAGCGTAACGCAGTAGAAAGTACATTTATTTACCGATTTTTCATCGTACCATAGAATTGTCTTAAGCACAGATTTTCTCACTCTCGACTTACTGATCTAACAATCAATTGAATTACACTAAAATTTCCGGTCGCGAAGTATTTAATATATTTCGTTAAAATTTTTCTATTACATTTTGGACAAAAAAAAAACTTATGGAGATAATAATGTTCAGTTAAAAAGGATTTCGTAACTTTGAGCACATAATGGTCCACTTTGCATGATTTCATGTAATTTCCAGTAAGGCGTAGTATTACACCTATTTTTTTTTTTTTTTTTGTTTAGTAATGCATGAGTTATTTGGTAAAAGAAAAACAAGTATGTACGTGCATTAGGGAGTACAAAAAGAGCAGGATCGTGTCGTTTGGTGATAATAAACACAAGCTTAAATTTTATCATAAAAGTACATGAAAAAATTGCTGCCGGTGGTGGTGCCTCGTAGACAAAATTAGGGTGTTGGTTGTTGCATCGCTAGCTACGTGAGAATAAAACGTGGGCTTACAAGAGTGGGTGTACATAGTATATATTTATACGATAAATTGCCGAAAATAGTGGAAAAAGTACGTGTTTTTGAGAATAAAAATTTACTCCAACAATTAATTTTAAAAGTGTAAGTAAAAAAAGTGTGGATCCGCGACATATTTGCGTCCCTTGACGTGCTGCGTTTTCAATTTTTTTTTTTTTTGTTGGCTCGTGTCTCACGTCAACACACTCGGAAGATGAAAAAGGCAAAGTAAGAGAAGTAGGGGGGGGGATAAAGTGGGCGTGGAAACAATAAAACACACGCGAGACGGGTCATACGACACGAGAAGCATCTTTGCTCGGCTATATACGCATGTACACCGAGGGGATAAACGTCGATTCTTCTCCACACTCGGAGTGTATACCTTGGCGTGATAACACCGCTCGGTACACATCGTACTCGTCCCGCTGTACGTCGAACGACTTATGCTATCTTACTTTTTTTTCTTTATCTCGAATATATCTCTTTTTTTCTCTCTGTACACTCGGTATATCTTTATATTGAATTAATACATACACGTATATCGTAGTAGTCTTTTACGAGCAGGAAGATGAGTGACTGTTGCTTTTCACGACTTTTGAAAAAAGATACACAATGTATAGGTATACACCGCTGTATTTACACTGTATCATAAATCTATGCCTATACGGTTCAGTCATTCCGTTGTCCGCAACAATACCGTGACGACCCTTTTCTTTCTTTACTATTTTTTTTT